AAAAGGGAAAATATCCGTAAAAAATCCCTTACTTCAGTTGTAAAATATTCAAATACAAGCCAAAATGCTATTTCCTGGTATGACTGGAGTTCACAGACTTGAGTGATGAATTTTGTAATTTCCGCTTAGTTGTGAATACAATGCTTTCTAAAATAATATTAAAGCATTCTTTAACCGAAAGCAATACCTACAAAAAGTGAAATTAAAATTCAAATAAAATACGCAATAATAGTCTTTAATACCTAAGACTAATAAAGTTCATGATTTTTGTAAGTAAGCATCTAACACATGAGACATTTCCTATACCTAAGAAATCATGAATTTATGGCAAGTTTTAATCTTTTTGTGTTTTGCCCTTTTCAATCTTTATGCCTCTACTCTGTTACTTCATTTACCGATTTAACTGAACGGAATGAGACCCACACAATCGATATACGAAACTGAATAGCAAAATTAATTTCCTTCCGTATGAAGGCATCCATCTTATCGACATCAGGCCCATCGGTTACGTCACTATCGGGCCTGCAATCATGATTCATTAGACGCAGATATCTTTGGAGGGGATTGCCGATCGCTTTGAGCTATTAACACTTCGATTTAGGAAGTGCTCGTCGGTGCTTTAACGAAATTATCGGCGCTATAGCTGATTGAACGCTTTTACTTTATTGGCTGTGACGCTTTTTATTTACTTAGGTACTTTGAGTTTGGGAATGTAAATGCGAGGTGAGATCGTTTTGATTATTGATGATTCAATTTTGACTGAAATCGAGTGATGGCGAAGACTCACACTAATACCTCTAGAAAGACCGCAGATTTTACGACTNTTACGACTAAGTATCCCCCGCACCACAACACAACTCAAAAAATTGTGACGCACGAACTTAACTGTTTGTAGTGATCTAGATATTTTCCAAGTGCATGTAAGTATTTTACCAATGAAGTTTTAACTTTGTGAATTAAAGTATTAGTTGGACGACAAACTTTTACAAAATAAACCTTTACAAGATAGAGCTTATCCCATCAAAAACAATACTTGTCAAAAAAACCAAGTCTCGCAACTCAGTTGTTCTACGGTAAAAAGTTGTGAGATCTATGTTATACCAAGTCCAGGCCAGGAAATCTTTAACGTTTTACATAACTTATTGACTTGGCCATCGCACTAAATAATTTAATTTACACGTGTTTTCATGCGATGGCCAAGTCAATATATTTATGTAAAACGTTAAAGATTTCCTGGCCTGGACTTGGTATTACATGGATCTCACAACTTTTTACCGTAGAACAACTGAGTTGCGAGACTTGGTTTTTTTGACAAGTATTGTTTTTGATGGGATCTCATTTCTTTTTGTATTTTGTAGACAGCAGTTATGTATCTAGAAAACTGGACCGAAATTGAAAAATTTTACTCGACTTGGCGGTTGCACTACCGTGCCCCCAAATATTTTAGTTTTTCCTTGATTCATACACCAAACACTACTTATATTCCAAATTTGAAGCTTCTAGGTCTGCTAGAAGTGCCTTAGAATTTTGATGATCGGTGAGTCAGTCAGTGAGTGACAAAATTAACAAAATTAAGAAACTTTGACCCGTTATAATTCTTAAACTACTGGTTCAAATTGAATGAAATTTGAAATATACCGTGTCTTTACAATGCCTGCATAGCTAATGAAAATTCAGCCTTCTAGTTTTATCCACAACGAAGTTACAGGCGGTCGAAAATGGCCTGAATTGCTTCGAGAAAAGGATGGTACGGCCGTGCTCGACTTGGTGGGGGCACTGCCGTGCCCCCAGATTTTTGGTACAAGATGGTAATTCAAATCATTGATCTTGATCAATAAAACGCCAATTGCTCTATATTATTTCCATTCCATTAGTCTTTCTTTATTGGCTTCAATATGTCACTAACTTTTTAGACAAAAAGTCTCGAAGTCAGACTGCAGTGTCTCCTCGACTAAGACAAATGTACCGCACTCTGATTGTTCCTGCTATCGCGTTGAATTTGAAATCGGCTCTTTCATAAATTGCCCGTCTCAGATACCGTGCGTGTAGACCTGACATTCTAGAGGTTGAATGAATGTTTGATGGTATCGAGATTGATAAAGTGGTATCATTAATTTCGTGGCTGTTGCCAACCGAAGCAGAATATTGAACTTCGTGGAATATTTTGTGGAATGAAAATATGCAAATGTCATTTATTGTGACGATGTATTCCTTGTTGAGCCTTTTAATTGTTTTTTTAGTTCTGAAATCAGAATTTTTATGACCTACTTTTTGACTAAATATTTTAATCCGTATGTTTTATATATCCTTGGACATTTTACACTGCGCTTCTAGTCCCAAACTAAGCAAAGCTTGTACTATGGGTACTAGACAACGGATATAAACATACTTAAATACTTTTTTTTGTAAATATATACATACTATACATAGAAAACACCCAGTCCAATACAAACAAATATGTTCATGCACACAAATGTTTATACTGTGCGGGAATCGAACCCGCAACCTCCGGAATAGTAGTCCGTTTCGAACCACTACACCAAACGGCCGACAATGTCAGTACTTAGACTATTAAAAGAAAAAAAAAAACACTGGAAAAATGTATTATAAAGTTGAAACATAGAAACTGACCTCTTTTAGACACTAACCAATGATATAATAGGTAAGTATATCAAAGTGTATTTGATAGATATCAAAATCTGCCCATTCTCATAAGAGAAGCTAATCTCATAGAAAAATCAAGTAAAATTTGGAACTTTATGCACTTGTTATAAAGGTTATTCTTCTTGATGTGCTGTCGACCGTACATGATTTGCATGCCTCATATCCTGTCTCCGTAACCTCAGACAACTAACCAACGGAACAGTCACAACAGGGACATAAAGTGGATTATCGTTAAAAGAGAAAAACTTCTCGGAGAACTACCCGGGTTCTGTACACAATGGAGGTAGATAGAGTAACCCTTACTAGTTGTCACGCGCTTGGGTTGGGAATACATTTAGCCTGGGCGCAGACCACCGAATTTTAGTTGGCCGATAGTTGGGTCGGGCTGTTAATCAGTATGGAGATGTATGAAAGTGCACATATTATTACACATATTATTCTTCATACAAATTACAATCGATCCCAACTATCGCCCGACCAAAAGTCGGTGGTCTGCACCTAAGCTTAGCAATCATTGAAGCTGAGCTAGTGACCGAGCACGTGGCTTCTATTTCAGAACTTTGCTGCCCCATCTAGCGTCAGCTCCGCGCACTATGTGCTCTGCTCATTGCTACTTCAGCTTGCTATAGTTCTTTGGCCTATACCAGCGACTTAAGTTACGGAGCTCCTCATCATAAAGAAACATCTAGATCCCTCTCCAACTTTAAGCTTCCATATAAGGCCTATAGTAAGAGGTCATGGTGTCATCACTGGTGACACACACTGGTAGACTTTCGTCTTTAGGCACGGTAGGCCGGTCTTACTGTGCACCTTCTACTCCCATCTCAACTATGCGACTCTGTAGCGCCGGTTGAAGTTTCTTAGACATCTCAAAATGTCTTTATGATCCCGGGCGACGTCGTAAATTGATATTTATTCGGAATCCTCCCTCGCCCGCACTCACTTAGTATTTCAAGTCGGTGTGAACTCAACTTTAGTGTATTTTGTTCGACAAATTCTTTGCGAGTTGCCTTTAGGAGTGTTCTAAAGTTTTATTATTAGCACTTCTTGCTGTTATGATGGTGGGATTCGTCTTTTTCGCTATCAAAAAGTTTCGAAAGGCTTGTGTAAGATTTAAGCAACAAAATTATGATGATTTATTTATTTATTTATTTATTTATTATTTAATAAATGATGTCTTAATTTAAAAACTTTTCACTATTTCTTTTTATTGGTTTACTAAATAATATTGAAAGAATCTTCTGCATCGCAAGCCTAATAATTGGATACCATTTGACATTAATATTTCAAAAAGTCCAAAGTTTTTGAAAAAATCTAAAAGCTAGTTTCACAAAAATATGTCCAGTAAATATCGATACGAATGCCGAACAGCAATTGCTTTAATTGGAGATACAAATTTCAAACGACCGAAGTCAATTAATAAAACATCGTCGCCAATTAGGGACCTAATCGCTCACAACATCGCACCACTTACACACATTATACGTATACTCCACAACATTCGCTGAGTGCTCTCATATCAGCAAATTGGACATCCATACACTGCCCAATTGAAATAGACTCTGAAATGCCTGCTGTGGGTATACAAGCTAAATTGGCAAAATATCGTCAATAACTCCAGTGGAGTACTGGAATATTTTCCAGTACATGAAACCTGTAGTTTACATTTTTTCATCTGTTTGGTGAATAGGGCATCTGGCTGGCGAAATGAGATTTCCACAAAGTAGTAATAACTTGATCGAATCCCGAGCAGTTTGCTTTTACGAGATGGTATTGCTTTTGCTGAGGAAATACTTTGTTGATCCACACAAGTTCACAAGATTTTTTCTGTACCTATTTGACTTATGTATTTTTGCGATGCAGCACTCTTTTCACTTATGTTTGGATTGTAAAGCGACAAAGTTTGATGAAAGGTGTAGTCATGTGACTTGCCATTTTAAATCATCTTGGATTTATGCATAGTGTAGAAACCAGAATCAGTTCGTTTTAAGTCTAAATTTTTTTGCTATAATTAGCCAAATAGGTGATGTTGTAGTAAATCATTTAATTTTGATTTGGAAATGTTAGAAAAGCTATTTTTATTTCATTAAATAAGTACACGATTTACTTGTAAAACTAAACTTGTTACTTGTTAAACGAAAGTAAAGTCGTCGATGGAGTACCTACTCGTATTATACCTTCTTAGCAACTTACTCTAAGGCTGGGTTGCACCATCTGACTTCAAATATAACAAAACGTCAAAAGTCTGTCAAACTGCATTAAAAACAACAATTATCGTTATAGTTATGGTTAAAGTATGGTGGTGCAACTCAGCTTATGAAGGTGATGCTTTTTACCTGTGATCATCTGACTAGCAGTGGTCAGCAGCTTGACATCGTTCTCGGCGTCCTGCGTCTCCAGCCTGACGGTGACGTTCAGAGGGTCCAGGGTTTCGTCTCCCGCTCTCCCGTGGAGGGTGACCAGGATAGCAGTGGTCTTCCCCGGTACGGCCACCTCGGGAGCCACGACTGAGAAGCCGCTGGAATGAAAAATAAGGGTTAATTTACTTATTTAGTTAATAGCCCGCGGTTTCACCAAGGTGGATTTGTGTGGTGAAACTGTTAATCTATATAAATAAAAATGAATTGATGTTCGTTAGTCTGATTAAAACTCGAGAACGGCTAGGCCGATTGAGCTGATTTTGGTTTTAAAATGTTTGTCGTAGTCCAGGGTAGGTCTAAACGGTAAGCAAATACGCGCGCGATATTGTTTTTCTGTGACAGACAAAATTCCACGCGGGCGAAGCCGCGGGCGGAAAGCTAGTGTATAATAAAATTGTCGAATTACTTAAAATTTTGCACACAAGGCCAGTATTTTAATGTAACGTTAGTTCAACTTATCGCAGTTTAACTGTGTTTGTCCAGCATAAGATCTGACCTAAATCTAGTCTCAATGATTTCTTTATACTTGTTTCATATAGTAGCTTGAACTAATAATACAAATAAAATGTGCAACTATCTACTTCGACTAAAAATACATTAGTATTGTGTCATTACAATAGTTGCCGTCGACAACGCCTAAGCCTATCCATTTGTTAACAAAACTTTCGTTTAATATTCGTATTGTGCCACAAAACTGAATACTCAATTGTAATACAACTTCCTTTCCCCATCCACATATTTTCCCGTGTGATAACAAAAATAGAGCATTACAAACAAATGGAAACCATTGTACGCCCGTATTGCTTGTTATTGGCGCTGGAGCGTCAAACACAACTCAATAGATGTATTGAAAATTCTCCAAGCAAACTGACTGCACTGCGACGAAGAAGCAGAGATATTGAAAGGATTTAACAGGTCAGGATTTTGGCGAGGGATTCCAAAACTCTAAACAGTGTAGTGTTGGCCCGAGCCATCCGAATGCATCGTATATTATTATGAGTTGTTGTTGTTGTGTAGCTTATCGTGAACGCGAATAGAAATTGGCAATGCTGGAAGCTAACAAAGCCTTGAGTTGGTAGTTCACACCCCCAAACAATTGAAGAATTTGTTTAGAGTTAAGTTTGCCTTAGTTTTAAAAAAAAATTCTGTTTTTTGTAAATAAAATTTAAATACACAAAAAAAAAAAAAAAAAGCTGAAAACTCGACGCATAAAAAGAGAATTGTCAAAGTTAAAACTCGACACTCATAGATTTTGTTTAGTAATAGGAAACATTGACTATTTATAGAGAAAGTTCTTCAACTAATGTTGTTGTTTCAAAACCTATCACTTATTTCAAAATGTAGATTTTTGTCACATCTGCCTATATTAATAAACCTTCATCATCATCATCATCATTTCAGCCATAGGACGTCCACTGCTGAACCTCAATAAGAAAAAGTAAACCTTATTGAACTTTAATTCTTTCTCGTTAATATTCGTATTTTCCCCACTCTAACTTTAGTAGGGCCCCATTGTTCTAACGTTTGATTTGCATGAATTAGAAACTGACTTTTTGCACTTTTTAATTAATTTTCTATTTACCTTGCTATATCATACAGTTAGTTTTAACTCCCACGAGCTGAGATCTTCATTAGAGACACCATAACCATGGCGCCTCGCTGTTAATTTGCGCTACTAATTAGGTTTTGTGTTGATTATGTTATTAGTCGCTTTGTCGTTATACCGACGGTAATAGGCTCTATTGCTGTATAAACAATGTTTATGAGTTCGCTTTGATAGTGTTGTTAAATTAGTATTGTTAAATGAGGCTTTATTAAAAGTTGGTAGCTTTGTTATTAAAAGCTCTGGCATACGAGTGTAGGCGAAATAATTAAAAAATAATATATTAAGCTAAGTTTTATTAATAAATTGTTTGGTTTGAAAGACGAGTTGGTTCACTACAGTAGTTTTCTCGGTGGGAGTCAACTAGTGTCCCCCGAATCTCCAATCAACAGAAAAATACATTTCATTTCTAAATAAATGATTAACATATACCATAAATGTGACTTGAAAATAGACCTCACTTTGGGCTCACCTCTGGGATCAATTAGACCAATTTTTATGGTTATAAAACCAAATAAAGATCTTACGTGTCCTCTTTAACAGATGGATAGCGATTAATCCCAACTTAACAGTTTTATAGTAATAAAAAATGACTATAGCGTAACTACCTATTTTTTGAAGAAGTGACTCTGGATCCTTGTAAAGTCACATTTTTGGGGTAAAAACCTTTCCTTTAATGAAATGAAGTTTAAAACTAGGCTTTCAAATGGTACCAATGTTGGTGGGAAGTGGGGATGCATACGTTTGATAAGTGCTTGTCGCGGGAGGTGCGATTTATTTGATGCCGAGTGTATGTAACTTGTATTGCAATATAAGTAATGAATTTTATCTGGTGATTTTTCATACAAAAATGGCTTTTGATTTTCATAATAGATGGGGTAGGTACGTACAATTTTTCTTTACCAAATCGGGTTAACCAAACGAGCACTAAAGTAAGTTAATCTTTCCGCAAACCAAATATTTATTTGAGGACGAAATAGCTCCATAATGTCTGAATTTGAAGAGGGTTTCAGTCGATATGTCGCGCACATATCCAATGGAGGATTTATAGACCCATTTCGCTTCTGAGCCATGTCTACAAGCTGTTTTCGATAGTCATTACGAATTGTCACGTTAGCAGGCTCGACGACTTTCAGCCCCCCGAACAAGCCGGTTTCCGAAAAGGCTTTAGTACCATAGATAGACCATAATAATATACGCTACGGCAGATTATATGGAAGATGAAGGAGTATAATCAGCCGCTTTGCATTTGTGAACTATGAGAAAGCCTGCGATTCGATTGAGACATGGGCAGTGCTGCAGTCTCTCCAACTGTGCCAAATTGACTATCGATACATTAAAGTGTTGAAAGGCTTGTACAAATACGCCACAGTGACAGTCCGTTTCAAGAACAGGACCCAAAACCTATCCAGTTGCAGCGAGGGGTGAGACAGGAAGACGTCATCACCATCGCCCTGGAAGATGTTTTTAAGCTTCTGGGCTAGAGCGGATTCAGCATAAATATCAACGGTGAGCACATCACCCAGACAACAGACGATATCGTAGTCATGGCCGAGATCGTGGACGATCTAGGCACAATGCTCGATGGCCTCAATAGAGTCTCTCAACGAGTGGGTCTCAAAATGAACACGGACAAGATTTAAAAATCATGTCTAAAGACCGTGTTGCACCCACTCCTCTAAAAGCTGGAGACTCTACACTCGAAGTTGTTGACAATAATGTATACCTGGGACAAACAGTACAGTTAGGTAGGTTCAACTTCGAAAAAAGGTCAATCATCGAATCCAGCTCGGCTGGGCAGCCTTCGGGAAGCTTCACGATATTTTCATGCGGCGTCTCCGTCGCGTTGCTGCTCCGCTTTAAATCCGCTTTGAATCCGCTTGCAATCCGCTAGGGTGGCAAGGGCCTTAAAACTCAGAGGCACACTGATGTTCAAATACCGTAGCCGAGTCCTAAAGCCGCGGTACGCGTTCGCCACGAAAAGAGTGAGCAAGACAGCAATATCTCACTCACACGTGTCATGCCTTGTTTATAACGACTAGTCTTAACGCCCAGTTTCAAAACATTACAAATAATATCACATAAACAACAAAATTAAAATTAAAACTAAATGTATTCTATCGAGAACACTGAGAATATTCTCGGGAGCGTTCTCGGTTCTCGAGAATATTCTCACTGGGAATATTGCCGGGAACGAGAACTTTCTCAGCGGCACATCTCTAGTTGGCCTGTTTGACCTCGTTCCCTTATAAAACTTACTCTGCAGAAAACACGCATACCTACCCTACATTATAGGCTAGCTGTTCCCGCAACTTTGTAACACAGTGTATAATAATGTGCTGTCAAACAATGTAAATAAAATTATTTTGTTTTGAGTCACTTTTCTGCCATTTCCAAAAAATGCACTTTCTAGTATTTTATTTTATACCTAGCGGCCGCCCGCGACTTCGTACCCGTGGATGCCGTTTTACCCCCTTAGAGGGGGAGTTTCGTAAAACCTTTCTTAGCGGTAATATCATCTACCTGCATGCCAAATTTAAGCCCGATCCTTCCAGTGGTTTGGGCTGTGCGTTGATAGATCACTATGTCAGTCAGTTAGTCAGTTAGTCAGTGAGTCAGTCAATCAGTCAGTCAGTCAGTCACCTTTGAGTTATATATTAGATTCACTTTGTCACTTGGTTTGCTCAATTGACCCATTGCTGTATTACATAATATTGAAAGTAGGCAATATTACATATTGCGTATTCGGTCCCCTCACACCAATGTAGGTACCCTTACATTGAATCCAAATTCGAATAACAAAAGAGTAGCGAATGGACAGTTGCCAACTCTAACTCAATCGATATCGTTTCGTTCTGAAGAAAGCTTAAGAGCTGAAAATGGGGATTTTTAAGTGTGATTGTGGAGCCTTTTAGATAAATGCTCGGTGGACTTGGATTTGTTGTTTTTTGTGTCTCAAGTTGTTCTTGCAGATTTAAATTCACGAATTTCAAGTGGCTAGGGCCAGTGCCGAGTTATTCTTCTTTAAGATAAAAGCGATTAAGCAAATATTGACTGAGATAGAACTTTTATTATTATGCTAAAGATCTTTGAATATCTCAAAAAAATACCAATTCAAACACGTTATTAAAAAGAAGAGTATTTAATTAATTCTGTACTGATATTTACTTTAATTACTTAAAAAAAACATTGTTAACCAAAATGGTTGACCTATATTCTACAAAAGACCTCGAAAAATGTGTAATCCCTAAGATTACTCAACCCCTTTAATATTGGCAGGCCAATCAATATCTGAAAATCGGATATGTGGACGCAAACCCGTTTGTCGTTGTGTACGAAATATCCGTTATTAGGGTTCCATAAATGAAAAGGTAAACAGACGTTTTTCGTGTAAGATTACTCACGTTCATCTGTCATTATGTTTCTTCAAAAGTCCCAGTATTTTCGTGAAAAGGTTACTCTAGATTAAAGGTACTTTTAGATGTTTTTCCAATT